AAATTTAAATTTTTTGTGTTGATTTAAACTGTAAAATTAAAAACTTTTAAAATTTCAATTTTTTTTCAGTTATTTTAAAATTTGAAATAACTCTTCTTACTCTTTGATCTGGACAAACAAATCTCAATGTTGGAATTTTTTCTAAGATGAAGGACAGATTTTCATCCTGGTTTCAAAGGTCAATTGATTTCAAAACATGGTAATCAATCAAAACTTGATGTGTGGACCGAGTTAGAAGGTTTTTAAGGGACGGACAGCTAAATTTTTTTATCAAATTAGATTTGCTGAGAATATTTAATTTAACTGGCTTTTTAAGAACATTTAAAAAAATAAAATTTTATGAACACGTGTACGACATCGGAAAAATTTTCATTCAAAAGTTTCATTAGTTTATTTGCATTTATTTAAGAAACCAAAATATGGTCAGCTGTAATAATTATAATTAATTTAATATATTACGGCTATTAGAAAAAAAAAAACTTTCTTAGAAAGAAAACTTCTTACTTTAAATTTCAATGCATTTATATCATGAAATATGGACGCCATTTTCTTGAGTAAAATCAATAATATAATCTCAGGTAACAAATCATGCAAAATTAAATTTAAATTCAAAAAGTTAATATCATTGTAAAAAATAAATTTTTTATTTAAAGATGATGTTCAAACGCATTAGTTTTAAAAATTTATTTTCTTATCATGATCTTTCTTTTCTTTTATTTTTATGTTGTTCTAAATGACAATTTTTATTTCTTTTCTAAAACTCTTAAAAGAAATTTATAACTATCTTGGGCAAAAAGGATCGAATTTATGCTTGAATTTATCAAAAATGATAAAATAAATTTCAACAATTGAAGTCGCAAAGATGATTAAAATTTCAGATAGAATAGAAATCCAGTTTTTGAAGTAACTATTATTTGACTAGCTGTTTTAAAAGTCATTTCATTGTATAAATATTAACCTCATTTATTTCTTTTTTGTAATCATATACATTATATTAATATTGCAATGTTGATCTACTTTTTTAAATTAAACAAAATGAAATAAAGCATTAAAACGCAAAACAATATTGGGAAAATATGATATTGTATTTTTTATTTAAGAAGCATATGTTAATCAATGTCGTCCTAAATTAGGTTCGACGTACAAAACGTTAAACTTGAAATAAGAGTTAATGAAAACAATCTAGTTGTGAATTTCGATAAAAATGTCCGACATTGACTCACTTTAACAATTTGTCTCAACTGATTTTTATTTTTTTTAAAATTCTCAAATCGGAGAGTCTATTACAATAGAATAGGAATTATTTTTATATATTTATATTTAAAAAAAAATATATATTGCTAATTAAAACTTTCAGATAGAACAGAAATCGAGTTTATATTTTTCAGTAACTATTTCTTAATTAGTAAAAAAAAAATTGTCATTAAACAAATTGCTAACGTCATTTAAAACCCATTTCTGTTTATTTATATTATTAATTGCTTTAAAATTCACCTTATTTATCTTTTATTAAAAATCAAGCAATATTGCCACTATATGAGTAAAGAATTTTATATTTCCCTTTTCAATTACATTTTAACAGGGAAAAAAAAAATAATAATATATAAGACGACAGAAAATAAATAAAATATATTTGACTGGAAATAAAAAGCTGGAACATTCCTATAAAGCGTGAAATTAAATAGAATAAAATATTAGCCTTTGTAAACCCATGGTTACATCTATCCATTTCAAATGTAAAATTTAAAACCTTGATATTGAAAGTACCACTTTCGATTGTAAAAAAATAGTCTAAACCATGTCCATATAAAAGAAAGTTCATGAATTTTTTATGAATAAAGCTACGTTATATATGGGAATTGACTTAATATATCTTTATGTATAAATTTAAATATTTTTGTAAATCTTGCTATCTTGTAAATAAAAAAAATAAGACATTAAACATTAGACATTTTAAATATTATTCTGAACAGTTTGAGCAGAAATTTATTAACCTAACACATTATTATCGTAACGATGTATAAGGGTTTTAATAAATTTCACTCGACTGAATCAAATTTGACAATTTACTAACCTCAAAATTTTGCTCATATAAAATTGTTGTGATTATGAACAGTAAATTTTTTAATTCAACATTTAAGTTTATGAATATTTAAAATATTTCTTGAAAAAATATGAATTAAATCACTTAATAATTTGGATCAAAATTTGTCACCTTGATTCGTGTACATGTCAAGGACGAACGAACGTTTTGTTGCACTGAGACAAAATTATCCGCACTCATAACACAAATAATATATTATAAATTATTTCGACTTGCCCTCGTTATATATATATATATATATATATATATATATATATATATATATATATATATATATATATATATATCAGGTCATCCCATAAGTTCTGTCCGAATTTTGAATCAAGAAAACAAATGACCAAATGTTACATTTAATTACAGATTCAATCAACAATGTATTTTCCCTGATTATCTATGACTTCCTTCCATCTATTAACAAGCTTACTAATTCCATTACTGTAAAATTCTTTTGGCTTTGATTCGAAGAACTCACAAATGTCAGTTTTAACCTCTTCCTGTGTGACAAAAGCTGTTTCTTCCAAATGATTCTGTACGCTACGAAACAAATGGTAGTCTGAAGGAGCAAGATCGGGAGAATAAGGTGGATGAGGAATTTTCTCCCAACCAAGTTCTTCGATCTTTTGTGACGTGATTCTTGCTGTGTCGGGTCGCGCATTGTCCTGATGAAACATCACCTCTTTTCGATTCACTAGAGCAGGTCTTTTTTTCCTCAAAGCTTGGTTCAAACGCTCTAATTGCTGACAGTATATTTGAGCATTAATTGTTGCATTAGGTGGTAAGAATTCAAAGTGGATTATTCCTTGGCGATCCCACCAGATTGAAAGAAGAACTTTTTGCCCATGAAGTTCCTTTCTCGGCTGTGGCTGGGGTCCTTCTCCTTTATCAAGCCACTGTCTACGACGCTTAACATTTCGATAAAAGATCCATTATTCATCGCCAGTCACAAGTCTATCCAAAAAAGTGAAACAAGTTGGCGAGAATGGAGAGAAGTGCAGATGTCAATTCGGGATTTGAGGTTGTTTTCAGACAATTCATGAGGCACCCATTTTCCAAGTTTAGGAGTTTTCCAAGTTGTTGAAGATGACGATGAACAGTTGTATGGTTTGAACTGAAAACCACTGTCAATTCCTCAACTGATAAAGCAGGATTTTCTTCAAGGACTGCTTCAAGAAGCTTTTCATCAAACTCAATTGAACGTCCGGTTCGATCTTCATCTTCAAGGGTGAAATCTCCACCTCTGAATTTTGCAAACCATCTTCTGCAAGTTCTTTCATTCACACATTCCTCTCCATAAACTGAGTGAATGTTTCTAGCCGCTTCGGCTGCTGAGTTTCCTTTCTTGAACTCATAAAGCATTATGTGCCTCAAATGATTCTTGGGTACTTCCATGTTAACAGGATTTTAATCAAACAAAATTTAATTTTATTGTTCTCTGAAATAAAATTTGATCAGTTTAAATGCATCTAAACATAAAAAATAATGTTCAACTCCATTAGAAATTATAAAATACTCTTTAAATTTCGTTCATTTTAACAAAAAGTTAAAATTCGGACAGAACTTATGGGATGACTTGATATATATATTTTTATATCACCGTCCGTGAGTTTTACATTTAGCTGTGCCAGTTGTATGGCTTCATTTAATATGCTTTCTGTAATGGAAGGATAAAAATCCACAATGTCAAATTGGATGAAAGTGGATTTATTCTTGTTGTCTATCGTTTTAAACCACTCTATGACGGCTTTGGTGTTCTTCAACTGGTTGAGAATCATTCTCCCACCACCGTTACTAATCATTTCTACCAATTTACAATTTCTACCAATTTACAATAACTATTAGCTAACTATCATTGTCTCCAATCCCTTGAAACATTACTATCACATCATATCATATAGACGCGTTATTAAATTGAACTACCCTCTCACCCAGCACATTGAATATTAAACTAAACATCACCATATAAATTAACCAATAAGGATTACAAATTTCTACCTGTTACATATACACAGTCACCAAAAACAAACAAATAACCAGCTTTAAATATAACAAATAAACCCCCCATTTTTTTTCAAAAATTTAAAAATAAATATAAATAATAATAATAATTTTTATATCATAATTTTACAAAACCCACCACACACGCATATATATACATGCGAGGAAATATTTTTCAGCAAAAAAATACATAATATCATGTATACATTAACGAGACATTTCCGCCACACTTCCAATGTTTAAATTTCAACATTTCAACATACAAATGCGTATGTATAGATATAACACCACCCGTATACATACATGTGTCATAGCCGAAACTGCCCACATATGTTTATATACGTATGAGTTCCGACGGACGGCCAAGTATGTATATGTGTCTGCATACATCGATGTTTGCGTTAGTACGATGAATGACAAAACGACGAAATTTCCCCACCACTTCCACAATAACACCAATACACGCAATCTACATAAACCCAATTTTTTTAAAACATTAATCAGTTTGTCTGACGATCGCTAAAGCGTGAAACCCAGGGTCACAAACTCACATCTATCCAACCAAATATATCTCTGATATTGAACGCTTTCTAATAAGTACCGCGCATATAATATATAAATAATTATACATATATATATTTATTTATATTTATATACACTTTTCACACACACACACACACACACACACACACACATATATATATATATATATATATATATAAAATATGGTGCTATTTGAATTCAGATGTGTGTTTAACATGTCTGAAGCTTCTAGTCTATAGCCGTTCACAGTAATGTGAAGTTCAATATAAGGCGCAGCAGGTGCCAGATTTCTATCTTCTTAGTTGAAATCATGAGGTCGAAGTCTTTGCAGACCTTAGAGTCTACGCTACCCTGCATGTCAGACTGGGTACTGGCATTGAGCGCAGTCAGTCGTCGGCGAACAGGAAGTCAAGGGCCGTATCATCATGCACTTTTTTCTTTGCCTGTAATCTCCGAGATTGAAGAGTTTACCGTCAGTACGGTAGCGGCGGCCTATACCGATGTCTCCTCGGAGAGAGTCCTTTAGAATGGCGGAAAACAACATGTTGAACAGGGTTGGGACCAGCACGCTGGTGACGGGGAACGGCTGGGAATACACGCCGTCATCTCGAACTCTCGCATTCATGCCGTCATGGAACTGACGTACCAGTCAATGAACTTGGCGGGGAATCCATACTTGGCCAGGATCCCTCAAATTCGGTCACGGCAGTGTTAAATGCCTTAGTCAGCTTCACGGTGGTGTACAGTCCGACGTTCTGCTACCGACATCTCTGTTGCAACTGCCGAGCTGCGAACACCACGTTCCGCGCGGAATCCACACTGGCTCTCGGAGAACAGGTCACGTACTAGGTGTGCGTTAAGACGATAGAGCAAGACGCGGGCCAGAATTTTCCCAGCGATGGAAAGCAAGATGCGGCGGTGTTTGTCACAGGCGTTCTTGTTCCCTTTGCGCTTGTAGAGATGGATAATGGAAGTGTACTTAAGTTCCCGTGGTAGCTTTTATTGAGTCCCCATGGAGTTGAATAGGCCTGTGATATTTTTATTCAGTTTTGGGCCACAAGAAGATGAGTTCTCAGCTGGAATGGAGTCGACACCAGGTGCTTTGCTGCTTGACAAAGACATGATGACGTTGGTAACTTCTTTAGGTTGTGGATTTGCCAGTGTGTTGTCTCCTGGGACATGTGGCAGTCATGCAATGGCTTTTTCGTTGATGGCTGATGGTCGGTTGAGTACATCGCTGAAGTGTTCTTCCCAGCCCTCAAGTATCTTCTTGTCCGAGATCAATGCGCTTCCATCTGCACTGAGGAGGGAGGATGTCCGAGACGAAGTGGGAAAGTAGACGGTCTTGAGAGCACTGTAGAAGTTCCTCTCTACGTAGGACTCGGTGGTGTCGGCTCGCTCGCTAAGCGATTCATCTTTCATGCAGTGTGGTTCAAACCGAACAACTCTCCCGATTGCCCTGAAGGATTTCTTCTTAGATGTGGAGGATGGGTTGCTAAGAAGTGGTTGGTAGAGTTAGTGTTTCGTACTCCAGTAGAGTATGGATGTGAAACTTGTTGTCGTCGAACCAGTCCTGGTGCATGCGGGTGATGGGTCCCACAACATCCGAGGCTACAGTATAGACAGCATCACGAAAATGAGTCCATTCCGCCTCCGCATCGACGTGCGGGTCTGTGTTGGGTGGTGGGAGCTTGTTGTCCAACTTCTATACCAGTTTTGACGAGGTCAATCTTTAGCTTTGAGATGTTCAGTTGCTTGAGCGCTCTGATGTATTGTGGCCTCCTTGGGGATGTGAAACGGAGGTTCATGTCGAAGATCAGCAGACGATGGTCCGCCCAGCATTCAGCACTGCACATGGTCCTCGTAGCCCCCACATCCCGCCTGTCCCTTTACCTAAAGATGGCGTAGTCAAGTACATGCCAGTGTTTGGAGCCAAGGTGCATCCACGCTTGTTGTGGTTGGACAGACGGATGACTGTTGTTGATGTGAAGGCCATGAGCGGTGCAGTACTCCAGCAGAAGGAGACCGTTGCTGTTCCACTTGCCCACACCGTATTTTCCCATCATTCCTCCCACGACATATGATCTCTGCCGACACGGGCGTTAAATTCATCGAGAGTGGTAACCTTGTCTGTCCTTGGTACGGTCAAGATGGTATCATTCAAATGCTGTCTTTCACTTCGTCAAGGTTAGTTATGGCGGGGGCGTACGTACTGATCAGTGTGGCGATCATTTTCCTGGGGAGCGGAAGGCGGACGGACATCAGGCGATCATTGATCCCCTTCGAACGAGCCGCCAGCATGTTGACCAGATTGGATTTGATGACAAAGTCAAATCCTGCCTGGCATTACTCGTGTTCACGTCCAATACCAATTCCTAATACTAAATCTAAAAGTACATTGTCGAATACTAACAGCATTTTTTTTTTTAATAAAAATTAACCAATTCAAATTGGTTTTGGGGACTTTTTTTTTTTTGTTAACTCAGAAAAGTCCATTCTTTTTTCACCACTTTTCTGTGTTTTAATTTTTAAATAATTTATTCATTTTGTTTGCATTTTTACAATTATTTGCCTTTAAAGAAAGGCAACTAATTGTAAAAATGAAAACGAGGTTGGAGAGAGAGAAAAAGGAATAGATTCATTTCTCTCTCTCTCTCTCTCCCACCTCGCTTTCTCTCTCTCTTCTTTGTTTGAGTTTCAAACTATTAAATAAATTTTAATTTGAATGATCTGTATGTTACCTTTTTAAATTCTTTTTCCTTTTCTTTCTTTTTTCTTTCAATCTTTCCATTATTGTATTTTCCTTTTCTTTCTTTCAAACCTTCACCTTCTATTATTGTATTGTCTTTTTCTTTCGTTCTTCCTTTCTTTCTTTCTTTCTTTCTTTCTTTCTTTCTTTCTTTCAAAGCTTTCATTGTTGTATTTCCTTTTCTTTCTTTCATTATTTATTTCCTTTCTTTCTTTCCTTACATTCTTTCTTTCTTTCTTTCTTTCTTTCTTTCTTTCTTTCCATTATTTTATAATTCTTTCTTTCTTTCTTTATTGTATTATCCTTTTCTTTCTTTCTTTCTTTCTTTCTTTCTTTCTTTCCTGCTTGCTTGCTTGTAATCTACCCTTTCTTCGTTTCCTCTTGTTTGTAGTTCCTTGTCTTTTTTGTTTATAGGAATTTCTTTCTTTCTTTTCTTTCTTTCTTTCTTTCTTTCTTTCTTTCTTTCTTTCTTTCTTTCTTTCTTTCTTTATGATCTATCAAGACCCAGTTTTTTTCCCATTTAGTTCTGTATTTTCCAATGTTTTTTTTCTATTCCCCACATCGAGCCACGTAATTTTCTTTTTTGTCGTCGTGTTCCATTTTCCATTTCATTTTTTTCTCTCTTCTTTCACAAACTCTCCAACATATTCCTGTAAATTCCTGTATAAACGTTTCACATAAAATAGGCTTAATGTAATCTCATCTTGTGTCACAAATGTTGTGATAACAAGTGACGATCGAACACACTGAGGCGGTAAAAATTCTCTAAGATTAGAATGATAATCATCGTCCCCAGGAAAGTAAATCATGAAAAAAAAAAATGTGATAGCAAACATTTATTTTACAACATAATCTTCTTCCTTTGTAATGCATTTGATACAGATCAATTAATTACAGAAAAAAGTGTACATTTCAGTTCAAAATTCAGTGACTCTTTTCATTATTCATATTATTTGCATTCGGACTCATATTTGTTTTTATTAACACAACGTATAGCCTGTTCTGCCGTATGAATATTCTTCAGGGAATTTTGAACCGAACTTTTTTATTTAAGTAAAGGGAGTAGATCTACTCCATCATCATCCTATTGAATATATCTAGGGATATCTCATTTAGTTCTTGTTGTTAGTTCTCGTACACACTGATCCGCCCGAAGATTAAATTCACAATTACTATATCAAAAAATTATGAACAAACGCTTTAATCCACTAGGCTGTAGTCCTATAGGACAATCCTGAGTCTAGAACTTAAATTTAACATGTGCTCGTTCTGCTTGCCATTCTTGACTACACTCACTGTGACTGTGTTACAGCTACTGTTAAATCATTGCTGTCATTTCTCATCATTTATTAACGGCTCCCATATAGTATTTATTTCTATGCTAGGTTTGCGGTGGAGATCTTTATAGCCCAGAGTATTCGCTGATACTTTCAGACGTCTGACTCTGTTCTTCTCCGACTAGTTATTTTATTTCATGCCACAGAATATTGATAAGTTTACTTCATACACGATCAGCCATGCTTTGATTCATTCCTCTCATCATGAATTACGGCTTGTCGATATTGCTTAAGCATTACATTTAGAGGAAGGCTAGTTGTTCTCTTTATATTCTTTGTCACATCTGCAAGTTCTTCGTCATGTTCATCCCCGCGTTAGACTTTATTCGGCAGAGATTTCTTCGTCGAGTGTAGCTACTTCTGAATGTTGTATAAACAGATCTTCTGAATATTTTCCAATAGGTTCGATGTAAAACAGAAAGCTGATCTCAAAAATGACTTTCAATTTGTTGTTAACTTGGACGAGAAATGGCCTGTAAATTTTAACGCCTCTGAAACGAAATGACAGCCTTTTAGTGATCTTCGAGTACCATTTTTGATTTCTGATGGAACAGTACCTTGCTTTCAGGTTGCAACAACGGCAGGAGAACACGTTAAGAGTTCTAGGCGTATATGGCATTGTCCAAGGTTCCCATAGACCACGTATAAAATGGGGTCGGGTAGCTGTTTCCCGAGACGAGACTCTGCCCTTCGACCTCGCCTCGTCTGGGGATCCTCTCAGCCTGGAGGCAGAGAGCTTGACCAGCACAGATGGAACAGATCTATTCGACAGCTAATATTTAACAGCCCCCACCACGAGGGATGTATGTAGCACAAGGCCGAGTTTACCGTGGGTTTTCCGAGCTCGTAGCCTCGGCCGAAAATTCGTATAATCGGGTTTAGGGTCTGTCTACCTCCCCGGACGAAACATTGCCCTGCGGCAAAGCCTTGTCCTGGTTCCTCACTGCCGAGGCTGAGAATTCGACAGTTACGAACATTCTAAGCGACTGTTATATTTAAGGCCCCCCTACCACCACGTGGATTGTATGTAGCACAAGGCCTGGTTTATCGTGGGTTCTCCGATCCCGTAGACTCAGCCAAAAATATTCCGTTAGAACCCGCATAAGCGGGTTCGAGATCTGTCTATGTCGAAGGGCAAAGCCTCGTCCAGGTTCCTCCCCGTTCAAGGCAGAGAGTTCGACAGTTACAAACAATCTATGCGACTGTTTATATTTAACAGCCCCACTACGAGTGATGTATGTGACACAAGGCCGAGTTTACCGTTGGTTCACCGAGCCCGTAGGCTCGGCCAAAATTATTCCCTTTGAACCGGCATAAACGGGTTCAGGGCCTGTCTACCTTCCCTGACAAAATTTTGCCCTTCGGCAAAGCCTCGTCCGGGTTCCTCTCTGCCGAGACAGAGAGTTTGACAGTTATGAACAATCTTATGAGACTGTTCCCCTAAGGCCTTCTCTTCTACTAATCTTATAGTAGTCGGAAGAGTCCAACATAGACTCTTTAGAGGAAGGACACCACAACAGTCTCCAAATACTAAAGTCGAGCGATAGTTGTAACATGCCATCCTGAACAATCATGCAGAGTTAAGACTGTTTTGTGGTGAACACAGTATGGTAGATATTGCACCCTGCAGCTTTACATGCACCCAAATAACTGTTACCTATACGAAGGGAGATTAAACTTTCATCCCTAAAAAAATAGAGATCGCTATTCGATCTCTTAGATGAACCTATGGCAATATCATCCTCATCATCATCATGAATGAATGTACTGTAGCGTAATTGTCTGGTGAGAGGCATGTGTGCCGGTTGTCATGCTATAAGTCAATTATAAACAGCGGTCCGTGTTGACACCGCGCGTGAATCTTTTATTCTGATGCGCTGTGGATGACGTACGGTCTACAATTGCCGATCTTGCAATGGGTTAATTATTGCGAGAGTCTATTGTTATACAGAACTTGGTCTACAAATATTCATTTTGAGTACTACTGGCATTTAAACGCCTAGAATGCACTACATACGCCTCACATGTAACAAGCACAGCAGTTCCCCAAAATTAATATCCAGTCTTTTAAAAGCAGCTTTTTAAAATGATTTAATTGAAAAAAAAAAGCATGCCGATTCGTCCGCGCCATATCTGGTCTGATGCTCCGACTATACATCTCTACGTTCTTGACACAATTCAAAGAAGGGTCTTTAATGTAGTCGAACTTGACCTTACATCTTGACTTCAGCCAGTTACCCAGTGACGTGACGTGGCTTCCCTTTGCTTAGATAGACCATAAACTCAACCTGACCTCAAGTGGAACTCGTAAATACATTGCTAAAGATGCAGGAAATATGATCAGTACCCTGTACTGCTCCCGTAAGTACCTGACATCCTCTACCTTTATAAAAGCGAAATTCGGCCTAAAATGAAGTACCCTGATTATATTTGGGCGGGAGGTACCCAGTCCTTACTTTCCAGTCTTGATAGAGCCCAAAAGCCTCTCCGAGTCTTTGTAGGTGACAAAAAGGAAATATTCATTTTTTTTAACATAAGACAAAATGAAAGTCATACTCAGAGTGAAGATTTAAAATTTGTCTCGATTTATTTCTCCCGTAGAACATTTCCCACCTTAAAGTTTTTTGTTTTTGTTTTGTTTTTCTTTTTTTGTTGCTTTTGTTTTCTTTGATTTTTGTTTTCTTATTTTTTCTTTTTCAAAAAAATAAGTTTCGCAGAAATCTGTTTCATCAATCGTATGTTAATTACAATTTCAAATGTTTATTAATTTATAAGTTGAGCGCATAGCAAAATTAGACCGGAATTTTTAGGTAGCCACGTTAAATCCACTGGAACAAAAAATACAATATTTATAATCAGAATTGTATCTGAAAGAACGTTATAAATACACGTATATCTGTTTTATATATTATGCAAAAAGCCTTTTGATAAGCTAAGACACAAAGATATATTTGAATTGGTGGGGACATTTTATTTATTTGGGAAATATAATGGAATAATCCAGAATACACACTGAAACCACATTGTACTCATACGGATAGAAAATAAATGGAATAATAGAGAAAAATAGAAACGGTTTAAATTTGACTATGCATCTTCACATATACAAAATGGCAATCTCACGACAACTAGAATCTCTAACGGAACTTTATATTGGCCTGCATATTCTTAGCAACATATGAGATACACAGAGGAAAACTATAGACACAAGAACA